CCTAACCCACCCACAACTTTCTATACAGAAAAAGACACCAAAAGACCAAAACAATACTTACTGTCCCTTTGTCCTGATCAACGAAGCCCTTTATCCTGCTGACTCAATTTCTTATTTCGATTTCAGTCTTGAGATTCGCCAAGCAATGTCGTATCCCCTCCAACTATCGATCAAGAGATTCTTCAAGTATTGTCGTAGAGAGACTTGAGATTGGAAAATCGTGGGATTGGTTTTCTTTTACAGGGTTTACAGGTTTACAGGTTTACAGGCATATAAAGCCAGCTTTTCATTTCCATTTTTAATCTTCAATCAAATAGATAAAATTAGGTTTTAGCCATTTAAGGGTTTTATGGAATTTTATAGGTGAGGCCCAGTTGACGTGTAATGAAAAGGGGAGAAAAATCACCACGTATGATTAAAATGGGCGGGAATGGGCCAGTTCAGCATCCACGCAGGCAAAAAAACCTCCACCGTGTTTAAAATGTCTGAGTAAGCACACCATTAACGGGAAGATGACGGCAGCTGACGTGGCCCGTCAAATAATGGGTTATTTGTCTAAGTTGAAAACTTTGTGGGTGTATTTGTTCCCGTTTTTTGTTCGGGTGTGGATCCGTCCCTGCCCCTATAGTTGGGGGGTGGATTTGGGTATTTTGCCTAAATTAATCTTGATGAATTTCTTCTTTTTAACTTTTGATTGCTTCAATTGAGTCCGTTTTCTCATTTTCTTTTCCATCCTCTTCGTGAAATCCTCTTTTAACCCATAAACCTAACAATAAGAGCAAAGATGAAACATATTAGTTAAATATAAAAATAAAATTAAAATAAAAAATAAAATTCTATTAAAAATTTGAATGATGACATTGAGTCCATTCTTCTTTCTTCTTTCATTGTCATCAATAGGAAGCTCAGTCTTGGGTCTAGGTTCTAATGGAGGAGTTGCAGGGTGCTCTTCAAGCTCGTTGGTTAACTGTTTCCAACTTCCCTAACAAAGGCCGTTCTTTCGTCACCATCGGAGACTTCTATACAGCTTTTTGTTCCTCTTCCTCTTATGTCTCTTACGGAATGCTTGTTTTTCAGGGTGTAGGTGAAAGAGCGTGGCTTTCGTGTTTCAGGAGAGGTAATTATAAGCCAAGACCCTTATGTTTGCGTGCCAAACAACTCAAGATGCGACGGATGTTTCGCAGACACAAACCTGAAGAAGTGCTCAGCTTGTCAGGTGGTCTGCTAGTGTGGAAGCGTTTGCCAGGTTTGTAATCATTAATCAATTTTATTTCCCTAGAATTTAAGGGTATAAAAGTAATTTTAAGGTATATGTTTTCAGGTGGCTTGTTCATCTTAGCATCCATCTCAGAAAAAATGTCACATTAGGCGCAGAAGAGGGGTAAGTGAACAAACTATTAAAAATTAATGGAAGGATTATGTCAACATTAACAGAGGGGATGATTTGTCATTGCAGGTGAGTTGAGGAGCACTTTGCACGTGAAATGAGTTAAGGGGGTGATTTGTCACCAGTATATAAGTTAAGGAGGTGATTTGCATGTTTTACCAAGAAAAGATTCATGAAAGTGAATGAAAAAGCCGAAGGTAAGAAGTCAAAGTTGCACATCTTCTAGCTTTGGCCTTTTCAGGAGCAATAATTGCGGAAACGAGGTCTTGAATAATTGAGGGGATGACGGCAGAGTCGGTGAGTTTGAAACAGACTCATTGGCAGTCACATCTTAATTTTGGTAGGAATTATAGAGTATTTAATGATTTGTAGATAAGATATGAATTAAAAAAAAAGGATTTCTCAAAAAAAAAAAAAAAAAAAAGAAAAAGAAAAAAAGGAGA